AATGAGATCTTCGAGTCTGTGGTGATGAGGCTTATACGGAAAATTACCCTCTGCCTCTAATTGAAGAACAGTGAACATTGAACATTGAGCTCGTTCACTCACAAACAAAGAGCGGACAATAAGTGAGCTTTATATTAACCTTGGATTATGAAATGTCCCCATATCCGTAAACATCTTCTCCCAGTTTATCATGTACATTGTGACAGTTAACGTGCATGATTTTTTAATTGAAATATGAGCTCCAGTGCTTGCAAAAGTTATACGTAATACAAGATGTTTCGACCGGTCTAACACAAACATTACCACAACCTTATATTGGTAACACCGGCAAATGAAGAGACAGCTATTCCCAGTCACCGTTTATTCAAGTCCAGTCAAAGTGAGCATTATGCACCCCAAAGGTGAGTTTGCGGTGAATTTCCAGAGAAGTTGTATATATATATATATATTTCAAGAGAATAACGAATAGCGGTGCAAAGTGGCATGGGTGCAAAAAACTACACTACACAATCAGCGATCAAAAGATGATGAAAAATACAAATTCAAAAGATGTTAAACTAAACCTGCAATAAGTGGTACCCGGTTCATTAGAAGACAAGTAAAATAGGAAAGGACGTTGTTTCTGTACGAGGTAGTGCGTGCGGAAACGACCTTCTAATGGACAAGAGTAAGGGGGAGGGGTTGACACAGATTTGAGAAGTTCAGTATGCAAACCATCGTCTGTTTAGTGCTAGATTCTATTAGCAATGCTTTCAATTGTATTGATATAATTGCAGACTTCTGGCTATATAATTACATCGTGAAAAAAGTTCGATGGATTTGGAAATTATTATGAACTCTTTTTTTCCAAGCCAGGAGGAAATACTGGGGAACAAAACAATTAAGGGATAGGGGCTGCGTGATACCACCAATTTAAAAAAAAATCATATTCGGCGGAACAGTGAGCTGCTTAAGACTAAAAGCTTAAAAATACACTTTAGGAACTCTGAGGTAAACGTACATTACATTACCAATCCAGAAACGTTTGTGTGACAGAACCGCGCCGAGATTTGTAACAGAGTCAACTTTGAGAGTGTTGCGACCGTCAATCTTGGGTAAATCATTCAAAATATCGTGATTATAGAAGTCGGATTTGAGGCTGGATGGAACAGTAACAGATGTACACACCTTAGTAATGGAGGGGGAGGGCAGAGCACCGAACCACCGAGTCGTGTGGACTGTCTTCAATTTTTCGGAAGTGCGGATGCCGAGGGTATTCCCAGGGCATTTGGAAAATCAATTGTATAAAACGAACGGTCCCTGCAAGTCTCTCTGAGACGGATAATACAGAATGAACAACGTGAGCAACGGTTTTGAGAGTCGAAAAGGAAAGAACATATATGAATACAGGTTGCAGACCATGCGCGACTGGTCGGACAGGAAAGCTCATTTTTAGTAACTATGATTCAACTAGTGCGAAACACCAGCATTAATCACATCACATAAAGTACAATGTTCTTTACCGCTGATTCGCAATGCGAAACTTCTCGGTTTTTATAATAAAAGAACAATTTTATCAGTCGATTCTGAGGAGAAATTCACTGATGCACCAACCGAGGCGTGGTTCCGGGCATCACATTGTGGCCTTTGGCCAAAAGAAGAGATCACTCAATCCAACAGTCTCAGTCTCCAACCTGTTTGTTATGTTCTTTCGCCGAGTGAAGGTGAAGGAGAAAATGAAGTTCTATTGATTGGAAATTAATTGGACTCAGTTATTGCACACATTATTTGGTGAGTTCAATCTTGGCGTTCCTTTAAAATTATAACTATTATCTAATGCTCTTGTCGATCCGACGGCTTGATTACACTGGCACTCCTCACCCTGTCTGCGAGGAGAGGCTGAGATTTGATTTAAAAGCTGTGCATAAAAGCTCACTGATGAGTTCAGTATAATGGAAAACCATGAGACAGTAAGTCCCAATGCAATATATGAATGTTTTTCTACGAGTAGCAAAATACTGAATGCGTTTAACCGCTCATTCGAAGTCCCTTTTTCGAATTCCAATCATTTTGCTGAACATCAGTTGAGCAGTTTACTGTTGATTTCGGTTTTCCTAGTGAAATAAAATCGTACTTTTTGTCACTGTGTGACGCATAAGCTTCACTTGGCAGTAAATAAGCCAACATGCTAATTGATCAATCTTTCATAAAGCCACTCATGAAAAGCCAATAGATGACAACTAATTCAATGACCAAAAATCTGGTGTTTCGTTCGAAGATCCGTATAGAAAAAGCAGACCATTTTCACACCCACCTTGATTAGTTTCGACTTGTGCAGTTGCAAAACAGCCAGTAGTGATTTATGCAATGGGTTTTGCATCTGATGTACCAGAGAATGGAATGTGGCCATTCGTCGACGCCAGTAGTCCAGCTCGACGCGTGGACCTGTATCGTCCGATTCTTTGCGAATCTGGTCGGAAATGCCCAACACCTGAATGGATTTGCATTGAAAGTTAGTGCTAGTTAGTATTTTTACAAATATATGTTCACCCAGGGTTAACTTTCTCTAAATGTCAGAAGGATTTAACATTTGAATCGTGCAAACAATAGCAATGGTCAATAAATTAACCCGGAGGGATATTTTAAGAAAAAGCTTTTGTAACAAGAAAAATTTCGTTGAATGCATACCGTTTTCGTATTGATTTTTCGTTTTATCTGTGTGTGTATTGTAAACTCTCACCTATAAGCTAGACCTGTCTGTCAATGAGTGGGCACCGTTCATTCAGCCTCGTATCATCTCGCGTCACCAAGGTACCCTTCTGAGCTTCGCGAGTCTGATGTGCATTTATATCGCCTCGTGGAAAACGTAATTCGTTATATTCAATATAACTTTTGCAGGTTAAGATGTTCTGATGTCAACGTTTTTAAATGCTGCAGTATCACTTTAAGACTTCATGTGACTACACGGACAGAAACTTATTGAGTACAACGGTAAGGCTATGAAGCAATGATCCTGTCCAACTGACCAAATACAACGGTGGATGAGATTCTACAATTTTCCGATCTTTTAACCCTATATGAAACGAATCAGCTCGCGCGAGGTGCATCAACTGATTGCGAACGTGAGAACATCCCAAGTCAATCGGTTATCGATGGTCCAACCGTCAGCTGAACAAGACCGTTGCTTGAATCGTTTGTCCTTGTAATTAACATGATGCTCACCACGGAGTCACAGGAAATCTTTGATTCACGTGAGTAATGAAGGGCTTGATTCAATGTCAAAAAGGAAACTCGTGGTGTATATAGCAAACGAAGCGCAAACCGAAAGGCTGCTCGACTCCTGGGAATCTTGAGCCCCCTGAGCGGCGCTAATCTAGTGAAGTGTGGGTGAAAACGAACCAGTGAGATAACAGTAAAAATGAACATTATGAGTTGGATACAAATGGGGGATAGGGAGAAATGGATTAGAGGGAAAAAGTTGAAGCATCAAAATTGGAAGAGACGAGTCTATCGCTCAATTTCGGGTGGTTCCCTCATATCGCTGACAAACACTATCACAACATTTTACTCACTGCTAAATTTGTCATCTGTCTTGATGTCAAGCTTTTTATAACTATTTTCCAAAATATGGAGATCTTTGTTGCCCAAAATCAATTGTCGGTGAAGTAATGAATGGCGTTTCGTTAAAATATGACCTCGAATCAAATGACCTTCTATCAAAGCGAATGAAATGAATGAATTAGTACTGAACAGGAGTGACAATTTATTGAACTGTGACAAAAAGTAAAATAAAGTGATGTGTCCATCATAAGTAGCAAGGGATCCTGATTTTGACTTATGCAGGAAGTAGCTAACAGCTAACGAACAACAGCAAAGCAATTTGGTGACACTTTATGGAACCTTATTCGCTAAGTTTGTGTCCCCCATGGCGCGAAATATGAACTATCCTCAAAATTATTTTCTGCCAGGATCCCAAAGAAAATTTACTGGGCATGAAGTGCGAATTGTTCGATAAAATCAATCCCGAGAGAAAACATCCGGTTACCATGATCACAAGACTGTTTCTTTGAACCCTTTACCACCCCAACAATATGCAGCTTTAAGCAGATTGTTCGGAGTGGTCAAAATAGATGCGGGTCTTTTTAAGTTGATGAAAAAATACTGAAATCCATTGTGAATCTCATCAAACGTGCATCGGTAGATTCACCGGGAACGAAAGGCGTCGCAAGATACGAACTTTGCAGTTGCCGTAATCCCCTATGTTTATGTGCTTCGACTGAGAAACAAAACTGGATTACTAATCAGGGCGGCAGCCTTGTCTCGTATTTAATCGAACTCAGCCTCGGTAGTCATGTAAATAACGAATTCCATTAAAAAGCTTAAACCATAGAATTTCCTAAATGGAACCCTGAATACTAAATTGGAATGAGACAATCTGTGCAAAACTTCAGTTTGTGAGCAGCAGCTCTATGACGTTTATCCCATCAATTTGGCTTCTCTGTCAGAATAAAGTTAGCAACATGACCACTCATTCGTTTTGCATCCTATCAAGGAGGTGAACCCATGTAAAACAAATGCTTATGTCAGTAAGAAAGCTGTTGGTCTCAAAAAATTGTTGATTTTGAAGTGATATTACCAGGTCGGTTAGCTCGGTGACACGAAAGTGCCACACAAGGATTTTGGAGTTCAAACCCAGAGCAGTCCGGTGAATATGTCCTACTGATGTACTCTAATGAGAGAAGAACTCGAGTCTAGTACTACTAGAGTGTATGATGAACTTGATAGACTGATGATTGGGTGTGAAGGTGAAGTCTGAATGATAAGTAGTCAAAACCAATATTCAGGTGAGTTATTTAAACACTCAGATTCAATTGTAGCTAAACGCAGATCTCACCTGCTCCAGTTGGCCAATCCACACAGAAACGCAAGCTTCTGCGTCGACCAGTAAACTCGGACTGGGCACTATGGAACGGTCTTCCGGCAGGGATTTCAATCCGGACAGAAGTCGTTCACTACACGGTTTCAAAATTACCTAAATAAGAATGACAGATTAAAGGAACTGATGAATTATAATAAACCTTTTAGATCTATTTGCATCAAGGCTAGTAGTAGTTGTAGACTAGACAGGGGCGGTTAGCCGATAAACCAGCTTCAGATTTTGAAAACCTTGTTTGGATGGGTAACTCACGTGGTACGACTGAGTGGTTTAAAGGTAATGTTCATGTCTACTGAGCGTCTTCACGGAACAGAAGTGTACATGTATTCTGTGCATCTGTCTCGGTGATACTTATTCAGTATATTATTTGCTTCGCAATCTCTTTTACCATCACTTTCACTGGTTCGCCACGTGAAAAATAGAAGTGGAACTCCTGATTGATGATTGTATAGACTAAACTGAAATGAATGAACTATAGACAACATAGGGGAGAGTTATCCGACTTGAAGTAAGTTATCTGATTGATTCCTGAATTGTATAGAGCATTAAGATATATTATCTTTTGAATTCAATCTCACAATACGTAATAAAACAAAGCGGAAATCTACCAGTCACCAATTTTTAATAGCTGGGGTTTACCCCTTTTGCTGTAAATCACTCCGTGTGCAATACACATCAAAAAAAGTTTACTTCAGGAGATCAGTGAAATTTACACTTCATTCGTCCTTCGAAACGTGAACTCATGAATGGAATGAAAGATTCTAGTGCATTTCTGCAATTTACTTTTTTGTGATTAAAACATTGGTCCACTTCTGAGCTGATCTAATGATATCCTCAAAGTTTTTTCTTCCGGTGAACAATTTGAAATATTTTAATCAAAATTTTCCAAACCATTTTTAGAGTACCAAGTTTGGATTATCCCAGTTGATTGTTCAGAGGCACCAGGCACTCTTGATGGTCTTGGGTATGGATTTCACTCATTAGTTACCCACAAGTTAAATGCATTGAAATGCGATGGATTTGTTTGTGATAACCGAGAAAGAACACGGATTTCAAACAGCCTCATAGAGTTCGTCCAACAGAAGAGTAGTATTCGAAAACACCGGAAACATTCAGCTTACTTGGTTCTCGAGAATTTCGGAAGAGTTGCACAGAATTCCCACAAAGTTTTCAATTTGATCCATAAGTTCTTGCTTGTTGAACTCCTCACACGCGGATTTTGCAGTTAGCATTTTGTCTGGTACATTGCTTAGTTGAGGAGCTATTAAAGTTGTCATCAGGTCCTCAAGACTGTGCAGTACACCACGTGAGAAGTCCATTCCGATAAACGTGATTTCCTGAAACAAGCAGCATCATTTTAAGTAAACAAGCGCTAATTATTTCATATTTCAATTCCCGCAAAAAATTAGGCGAGGTAGCCACTCAAAGAGCTGAGATATTTGCTGGCAGTTTCGGAATTTAAACCCACGATATGAGGACCGTTTAAACAATAAATAATAAATGATAAATAAATGTCCTTTTTACTTCCTTTTCCTATTCATTGAATATACAAATGTACAATCAACTTTCAGGAAGCGGGCTGCGGTCATACAAAGGTTGTCTGGGGAAAATACAGATATAGGGAAGACGGGCGGCGGTGAAGCGGTTTGGACCCGGGACACGCAGGTCATTAAATGGTGACCTAACTACTTGGCCAACACCGCCCAAATGGTGTGGACGAGCTAAATATTATATTATTTTAGAAAACAGCGTCCAAAATGCGCACAAGAAGTTCAAAACCTAGACCAGATGCTGGAAGATGACAAGTGAAAAGTGTGAATAAAAAGGACATTATTGTATCTAATCATCCCCTACGCAAACACCGTTCTATTCTCATTTCGGTATCGTTCTACTTTTTGTACTTGATGTCACATTTTTCTTTTCTTTTAAGTCACTAGGCTATCTGAAACACTCTATGGCTGATGAATGAATTAGCATTCCCGAATTGTATACAAACAAAATCAGAGGATAATTTTTTGAATAGTTGGAAACAAAGTGCTTACAATTTATAGTCATTGAGACTGACCTAGTTCTCAGTGATAGAAATCAAGCAATGTGACCGCGCACCGTGAACAGTCGCACTCGTTCACCCGCCCCTGCACATTCGGTTTTCTTCTAATATTCTACACGCAGCTGATCCGCGCTTGTCTGCCAAACCTATATTCAGGTAATCATAACTAAAGAATGATCTACTTGAAGCCAAGCAACGCTAATCAGAGCACATAACTCAGGTGTTTGTGCTCAGAAGTCATGAACACAGATGCTCTGTTTACTAAAAACACGTACACAATAATTTCCCCTTTAGGTTTGTTATTTGTAGTTGGTTGCTCAATGTTGCATCCATTATATTTGTGGGTATAGTGAGATCAGTAACAGGAATAAATAAAACAATTGGCTTTCTTCGTATTTATCTTCCTTCTCTAGCGACCAGTCAGATTAAATGTGCCGATTCTACATTGAGTCAAATTCCATTTTCTCTCTCGCCAGTGGTTGATCAAATCTGGTCCCATAGGATAAAGATTGAAGAAAACGGAGCACGCACGTGCAGGTTAGAAGTTTACAGAAATATAAAATGCGTCAAATGATTTGTCTGGATTTGCATCGGATGGAACTAGTTGTTCACTTCTAAGGGTGATTTACTGAGTTGAGTATATTTGCTTGATAATATTAAATTAATTTGGATAGGCGTCCCCGTCTAGAATTCATCTTTGCACACACAGTCCTTAGTTCATTCAACCATCTATCTGAAGATTGAACATGAAGATGAAGTGTGAAGAAGTTCCGTTAAACTAACCCAAACCACTACTCACAAGTATCTGTGAGTTAAATGTGGATTAAAAACAAGCTTATTGGTTTTATTTGTGGCAAAATTACTCGATCCCGCACGGAAGATCTGATTTGGTGGCAGGCTTTTGAACGGGGTTAATGGGTTACCAATTTTATCTCCTTTGGTTATCGTGTTGCATTCGATGAATTCGCTGACTTTCATTTAAGAAGACATTTGAATAAAAAATAAATTGTTAATTCTGGCATAGCGGGAACATCAGTCTGAATTTGAAGTACAACACGGTTGATTGGATGCGCATTGGAGTGTATTACCTCTTGAGTGCATCAGTGAACTAATAAGCATTATGCTAAAAGGTAAAGTTTGAATGATGGCCAATTCAAATCAGAGCTCTTTCATCCCACCTGACTAATCACAGTGTACTTCGAGTTAAGCAAAATATCACACTCTGTAATCTAAGGACCAACTTGTTTAACGGAACACTTTGCATGTATTAAGGATGCATCTTGTTAAAAAATATGTAAATAAAGAAGTATGAAAACATACAGATATAAAGAAAAGAAAGGACAATAATGGACGTGGACTTCTTAAAACCAACAAAAACATAGTGAATTCATAAATACTACGGCCAACGGTTAGATTCATGGCTTCAGCCACTAATGGAATATAGCTGAGTTTATGATCGTTAGCAAGGTAGTGCTAGAAATTAAGATATACATTCAAATGTAACCAAACAGCAAACCAGATGTATATCTCAGCATAATGGTGCTCCATGAACGTTTTTAATGCAAGTGATTCAAGATTTTCAACATACAAATACTCACTTATATAAAATTTACAACCATGAAATGTTCAGTCAGACCCGATAAAACTGGAAAGAACTTAAAAGCTACTTGCCACAAAAAGTTCAGAAATAATGTAAACAGCCAGATTTCTGCTTGCGTGTCGATACTTTATCCGTGATGTGTTTACAATGTGAGATAAAGCTGCCGGAATAGAGCAGCGAGTCGATTTGTTCTATTAACTTCTCTGTTAGAAAGAAACCAACAATTTCCCAATGCATCATCAGCATTTAAAACATATGCTGAGTGTAGCTAATCATCCAGCAAACCATCCAGAAAGATATCCATGTGAATTGCACCTTCAATCATTGGTGCAGTATAATCTGTGTACTTCAGGTCAATCAACTTACCAAACGGAGGAAAACACAAAAACCGCGATTTACATATATTGAGGACAAGATTATTTACAAAACCGAATATATCACTAATTTGTAAAAAATAGAGGTCACACAGAAAAACACATCGCTTTTTGTAAAAAATTATGATGAAAAGAGGTGAAAGCCCAAAATAATTATTTAAAGGAATATCAGTAGAGAAAAGAACTTCTCTGGCACATCATTTGGGGAAAGGTAGTAGCAAATTAAAGTGTAATTTACTGAGTCCATGGTCATATTCCGATTACGAAGGCTAGCTACTGGTGATCTACAAAAGCAATGTCTGGACTCCAAAAGTGTGAAATGGGTAATACTATGGTACGCTCAACGAGTCCTCCATCAAGTTTGGAACCATCCTGATTCTAATCCGTGCTCCGTTTAGTCCTGCAGACCTCAGTCTCAGTACGGTGCTAGTGTGATATTTTGGAAAACATTTAATGTCATTTTTCACTTAAGTATGTTTATAATTGCAGCATTTCGAGGTATAAACTGAAAATATTTTTAAATACGAGCATTGTGTTATTTCCCTTTTGGAGGTAACATAAAGCAAAAGCACATAAGATAATGCTTCTTGTATATGCAGTATATATACGATCTGGACTTAAATAATAATTGAGTGGTGTTTTCAAACATATATATATTTACCACCGGTTTGAAAACAAGCATGGTGCCAACGCAAAAACAATAACAACAATGACAGTGAAAGGGCTAGTATAGTATAGTATAGTATAGTATAGTATAGTATAGTATAGTATAGTATAGTATAGTATACATAAACCTCCAAGACCCCGATTCATTCGATTATATGTTCTGCATATTAGGACTGCAGCGAAAGGAGTAAAAGCAAGTAACTCTGAATTTTAGAGGGACTAAACAGTAAATGAATGCGGATGGTCAACCTTGTACCCGTCAGTGAATCATTAACTTGAATGTTATTGTCATAAACCCAAGTTACCAACAATTCGGTGCTTCTAAGTCAGGTTTCACTTCTTTACTCGGTCTTCTTGACAGCTGATTATCTAACTAGCCATGTTACAAAAGAAAAAACCTAGTAAAACTTGTCGTGTAAGATTTACCGAATTTAAAATATTTTTTCCTGCAAAACTTTCGGCTTCAATGAGTGTGCCCTAAGGGTTTATAACCTAAATTTTTATTTTGTTACAAGTGTAAAGTGTTTTCTAACTAGTAAAATTGTAAGCAAATACCAGAATTGCACCAAAAAGCAAACAAGCATTCAAGTTGTATTTTAAGGTGAGTAGTTATTGTAGTAATTATACATAAAACATGAACTCGTTTTTTTTTGTACATGATATCCTTGTACATTCCAGCCTTCCGCTCATTAATGTTCAATTCTATTGTCGAGTGCTGTGGTCTGATTTTATTCCAAGTTCTACTGTTGGGTTAGACTATTATGGATTTCGATACGTACACGAATTACTGGTTCGAGTGAAAACTATAATAGTTATATATAATATAGCAAAATTCAATGCATTAAAACTTGAAGGAGAGCTCAGGGAGTAAAAATGATTATCGTTTATAAGACTAAACTTTGTTTTGTAACCAGTTTCCAAAAATGTTGATTGATATTTTTATTTTGGTGGTTGCAAATAGCAAGTGTAATTCCTTACAAACCGGTTAGGACAGTTAATTTAAGTTATTTATCCATGTATCTTGAATTCATACTATGCGTAGGGTGTCTTCCTTCAGAGGACAAAGAAACTAACGGAACGTTCGTTCACACACAGTTTTACTTACAGATCGTTGGAATAACTCTAAAGAGAAAGAACCGCAATATATAATCACAAATTCATTTTTTGAGACAAATATTCCCTCGAAAAAGAACTACAATCTCACTCATACATACCCTAACAAGGAATACTTTAATTTTCCATTCAGGTTTTGAAATAACCTTTTAGGTTGTTAAAAAATTAGAATACTGAACCAAACTGGTTACCAAAACCTTACTCGCAATTCCCTCAATCCCTTCTTTTTGTTGGAATTTTACCAAAGTAGAAGTATATTTCAAACTTTTGCAACTCAAGCCGTGAGGGAAACTAAACTAATTGTAACGACTGACGTAAGCTTCACTCTGCAACAAGTCTCTTTAATGACCAATAAAGAGCACTAGGCAGGGGTTTCGCTCATTTTGGAACGCTTTAACAGTATGTACTTTCTGAGTAACCAAGATAGTTGACAGTGCGTAGAGGCTGTGAACAATAAAATGAACAAAACCAATCCCGACAGCACATAGGACAGTTTTCCATCCCAATAGAGTCCTATTGGGACAAAATCATTATAAATCGTCTCTTTACTGTCATCTTAGGTTCGCGGTGCGACTCTAATTTTCGCACAGTTTGAGATTATGCAGTTTCAACGTCATAACCTCAAATTAACTCAGAGCTAATTAGTAGCTACTAATTGATCTAAATGAAGAATAACTGAAAGATACATAATAGTCAAACTGAATAACATATACATATATATTCGAACATGAATCAATTATAATTAATTCCGATTTTGTACCTGTATGTGCAAAATCGTTTCAGTTATAACTGAAACAGTCGATTGGAGAAAATACGTAATGCCACAGAACTTACACTGGAAATGGACTCCATCTTTATCTCACTATCGTTTCCGCATCGTATAAAAATAGCGCATAATCCATTCAATATGTCTTGTTGCCCAGTGGACAAGTTAATGAGCAACTTTGACTGCATGGTTTGACGAACACCAGATACGAATCTTTCATTTGAATCTGTGGCTTCATGTGAACACGTGAGTTTTGGATAGACTGATCATACCCAAGTTGCTGGTTGTGGTGGTGAAGAAAACAGCCCGGTGACCCTTAACTCCAAAGAAGTTATGAAGGATTTCGTCCTGCAAAGTTTCAATGATTGAAGTCATATGATTCCACCAGCCAAGATACCTGATTTTTAGACAAAACGGACTCTTCGACAAAGTTCTTTTCAACTCTGAAGAAATCTGCAACCTTCTCGAAGACCAAACCGAATCGACCATCCAACTCCGCACGTCTAGCTTCTCGTTCTTTAATTCGTATTGCCTTGCGCGAAAAATGCATCATAATTTAAATAT